TCGATTAGATGTCAGTTCAGTTCGATTGCTTTGGAAGGTGATTGGCGATGCGTGTTGAATAGCGATATGACACTTTTCCCTTTTAAGGTCATCCAACCATCTCATTTTAAGATGGCATTGATAATTAATTGCGAAATTTTGTGTAGTCAGTTAATTCTGAGGGAGTTTCACTTTATTACATTGTTCCAATTATATCAGCAGATGACTTTCCTTGGACAGGGAATTGGTCGTTGATGCAGGAAATTCGTGCGTTTACCTTGTTAATATATCAGTCTTTACAAGAAAAAACTTCATGAAGGTAATGCACAGATACATATGAATCAAATTTACATTCTTCACATGAAGTAAACGAATAAATTTAATGATAATTTACCGAATAGACAAATTCAATAAAATTTTTAACAAATAGATAAATTTAATGATAAATTACCAAATAGATAAATTCGATAAATTTTTTAACAAATCGATAAATTCAATGATAATTTCAGTGATATTTTAAATGATGATGATTATGAGGATTGTTCATTGTTCATTCATTATTCATTGTTTATAATCGCCCGACCAGCGGGTGGCTGGGATTTTCGACAGGGTTTTTGGCTTTCATGAGAATTGACGTTTGTACGTCGCCGTAATGTTCTATGGCATAGTGCTCGCAGTGATATTCGTCTACTTTGGAATTAAAATACACTTGAAGGTGTGAATGTTAATGACCTTCGTTGTTTGTGGAAAAGAGCATCAGATGTCCATTTCTTCCTCACTCTTGCAAGTATGATAAAAACATGAAACACTTCGGAATTGCATAGCAGCATGTGCTGATGTATTGCATCATTTCTATATTCCAGTGAAACTTATCATTACATTTAGACTCTGCCACATATTTTTGATCATTGGTAAGATCGTTCAGAATTCGTAAGATCCAGATTTTCAATTGATCAAGGTAGCCGAACGTAATTTGCTGTTCGTTTAAAATAGGAAACTCTTCTAAATCGCTCTGCCAAATAAAAAAAGTTTCATATACAGTACAGAGAACGCGGTGAACCGGGTGTGCCGATACTAGGCAATTTGGTAGATTTAATTCGCGAGAAGCGTCGATCAAGTAATGGGGGATTCGTTCATCTGGAAGCATTCGATGAGGGGTTCGTGCTTTTTCGAGCGTCTCCCGTCGCAACTGTCAAATTTCAATGATTTCAGTTGTTAACAAGTCGTTGAATTGAGAATGTGCACAAGTGAACTTATAGATCAGGATTAAGTATCCGGCATATATTGACAAGCGGCATATTTTTGCGAATCATTACCTGAATCATTTTGATCAGATTGATCTGAATTGATCAAACTCTTTGAATGTTCGTTTTGTGATCAAACTGCCAAAATTGTCTCGATCTCACGGCAATAAGATCGTTTGATGAAACAATGGAATCTAGTCACAATAGAATCTAAGTCGATGTCACAATAGAATCTAGTTTCAGCAGTATCAGAAATGAAGACATACAAATAACGAACACCACTCAAAGTTCACCGTTGTCAGTAACATCATCGTCAAACTTACCAAACGAATCTGAAGTTACTCATTTCAAATTCTGCTCTTTTTTGACCAAATATTTGTTAAATTTGAGCAGAATCGCTAACTGTTGTTTAATGAGCACATTTTTCGTGGAATCTGAGATGGATAATATATAATTTGGCAGCGTCGAGTTAGATTGAGAAAAGAATTCATTTAAATTCACCGAATACTTGCAAATAACATCAAAAAAGCTCGTAGAATAGTTGTACCATTCTTAAATGAAAATGCATCTTGATATCGAAATGCACTAAATGAAATTTTGTTGTCCAAACCAAATCAACTCCTCACTGCTCAATTTCATTTGCATAGTAATTTTCCAACTGCGCGAATAAATTTAGAGCTTTTTATCAAATTCATCCATCGAAATCTTCGGTAATGATTGGAATTTATTAAAATGATTATTACGGTTTTTTATAAATGATTATTACGTTGTTATAGGCGGATCATCAGGGAAAAAGAGCTTGATTGAAGAAGCGTCAGGTAACGTAGAGAAGACAATTTTTCATCCATAAATCATAAGTTTATTAGCAAGATAAAGTGGATTTGGGGATGATATCTCTGGTGGAAAAACCGGAGACAATCCCTGATTTTGCTCGAGAACTTCATATCCATTTCAGTATCCTTTTCATTCTGTCATTTTCATCTCCTGTGCTTAATTGAAATCCGGTTTCGTCGTGTTCATTAAGAGATTTGGCAATTCTTTGAGGAGTTGCAGGATCTCAGAATCTATGGGTTATCTTGAGCCTTGCATTTGATTTGTTATGCGCATTGCATGATTACTAATTGATTCAGGGAAGAAATCATGATAATAGCTCCACTCCACCTAGAAACCTAGGAATTTAGTTCCACTTTTCAAGTAAGAATATTTCAGTCCTTCAACATTATCGTGACCATTAGTCCATTTCTAATTAAAGCTTTACTTTTGCAGCGGACAGAAGTCAACAATGAATGGAAAAGCGATTGGATTTTTGCATGACTCATTTGACTGCAATAATTTCAATGAAGTCTTTGAGATATCGTGTCATAAAACATTGTTTACACTGAACATCTGCCAGCTATATATTTCAGTTCATTGTCGATCATATATGTGATGTAATTGTCAAGCATATTTAATTTAGACAGTCATATATCAAGTTTAATTCTCTTGTTTCATCATTTTTACCAGTAAACGTTCGATTCATTTTACTCACTTTCCTATGCATACCCGAAAAATGCATCTGAATACACATCGTAACGATAGAGTTATCCGAAAAAGGGCATGAATTGTTAGTGCATTTTCAGCCGAATGGAACTACTAAATTACTTTCGATTTATTCTTTCGGTTGAGTTAGATGTCATTTAAATGTGATGTCATTCATTCAAGTGTAAACATAATCATAGAGCTGTGGAATATACTAAGGATTCATTTATCAGTACCTTCACACATCAGACCAATCAGAATGATGCGTTCTCGAGGCAGTAAGTAGTATGATTTAAAGACGTTCATTGCCATAGGCGATCGGTTAGTCTTACATACATAAGAGCAAGCGAATGAACTAGCGATTAGTTAGTGTGCAATGGGTTTATAACATCGCAGCTTTCGTGCTAGCCATAGCCACAAATAGCATACTCAAAGCAGCAGACTATATTACTATTGATTATTCGCTGTTTTCGAATAACCGGTCTAGTCGAGTTAGTAGCGAAACAAAGTGGTGAATGCAACAGTGGAGTTGTTGAACGAACAACTCCTGTTTTGTTGTTATCGCTTTTTTGATGGTGTTTATTAGATTGGTTTTTGGGTGTTTGTTATTTTCGAATGGTGAAGTCTCAGTTGAGTTGATTGGAAACATTTCTTCGAATCGATTCATTGGTCGAATTTAAGTTTAACGTTTGAATTGATTCACGTTTTGCTTTGAATTAAGTTGCTCAAATGACTATTCAGCTTACAGCTGATGGAAATGACTGATGCTTAATGATTCTGTTGATAAACTATCTGCAGTACAGCGATCCGCTGATTTTTTAAGCGTTAATTTGGAATTTTTTTATTTGTTTGTTATTGGTCGTTTTCAAGGTTCACACTTGTGCATCTAAACAACTTGTTTCAGCTGATTCTAACCTGTTTAACGTACAGGATTGTTTGGAATTTAACTTTCAACTTACCATTTCTCCCTGATAAAAGTGTTGGGTTCGATTTTTTCAAGTTTACTTGCTTCTAATTTTTAATCCTTCATTGTTGCTGACTGTTTTCCTTACTCCTTTCATGACTGATTTACGAAGTACCAAGAATTTTGTTTGTATTGCTGGTTGGTACTGTTCGTGGTTTTGGTTGGGACTGTTTGTGATGTTGACTGTGTTGCTGGTGCGAAAGCGACGATTAATAATTTAGTTTATCCACACAATAAATGAAGACGATAATAACGNGATATGCAAAGCACTATAGACAGACATACAAGAAACCGTAAACAATAAACAAAAGATCACCGGTTTATCACAACATGATCCTTCAAATTTCTAGTTTCAGTGAATTATCAGTCATTATGTTTCAAGTTAGAATCATATAAATTAAAAAATATGTGTTCAAACATCCGTATTTTATTCCAAATATAGTTTTACTACAGATGACTCATATTTATTCTGAATTGTAACATTACAATTATTCCGAATAAAATTGTAATGTGAAATGTGAGTCATGCGACAAACATGACACACGTTTTAAAATTAAGAATTCTTTATTTTAATGTCAATAGCATGAATAAATCATTATAGTAAAATCATTCACGAGCGGTGGCTGCTCTCGTAGAACGGTGCTAACGTGTTTTTAAGTAAACAACTTGTCCAACCATTTCTTACTGTTTCAGCTAATAACGCTTTCCGCATTTTAAGACGATTTTTCATAATGCAATACGTTTTTTAATATTCTTTATCACAACGATTTTAATGCCTTTATTTCAAATTCATTTCATTATATTCAATGCCTTATGTGCTGTTGTTAATTTCCGATTTAAGAATGTTTACTTTGTTCACAAACAATCACAGACCATTTCAAAGCAATTTTGAATGCAAACAAACAATTGCAATCTAATAATAATCTTTTGTTATCGATAAATTCTGAGTGAATGCACGCACAAATTATTTTACATGACGTGCTTATCGTCTACAATATTTCCATTGATAAAGTCTAATCTGCGAGTCACATCTAGGTCACTCACCCAAATCCCTTTTTTATTATGTTGGCTATTCGCAGCGAAACTGTCTAATTTTACTCATTTATGATCGTTCCATATTTGTGATCATTTTGATTTTAGTTGTTATTGCTTTATTGACGTTGTTTGGATGTCTTCATTTCCGTTGTTGTGGTTGAATAATACGATGAAGTTTACGACAAATATTATGATTGATGTCGATTGCGCAGAACCGTATAAACTTGATTATTTCCAGGTGTTTCAATCAAACCACAAGAATGTATGGTACAGAGCGTTACGGTACAACGACAGCTGAAGATATGGCGGAGTCGCTGTTCGATGACTTCACAGGTCGGATCAAGAAGATGCTTCCATCTGAAACACAAGATTTGGTGAGACAACGAGTTTATTCTTGTGTTTATTAAGCAGCATGCTTTTATCCACGGACAGTTGCTAGGAAGAAATTTAATTATTCTACCAAGCGTTTTATACGACTTTTGTGAATTCTGTTTTGCTGGAATGTTTTTATCTTGTTGACTATTGAATTAAACGTTTAAATATATATTCCAGATCGCAATGTTCATATTGTTCATCATGTTGCCGTTGGGTTTTGTATTCGAAATATTCGTCATTCTACCGCGTTGCTATGATATCTTCTCCGAAGTGAGTCAATTTAACTATCCTTTTTGTTCAGCCAATTTTTATTGTTTGTTTCAGTCAAAGCTGTTTGCCCTGCATGATTTCGTAGCATGTTTTTTTCAATCAAAATACTGAATCCTTATGGGGATCCATTGAAGTGAATAAGCTAATGGGCTAATGTTCATCAGTATTTGATGTATTTTATATTAACAGAAGCGTTTTTAAGAGTTGGATTTGGCGAGTGTGCATTCTATCGTATTTGGGAATTAACGCTTTCACAAACATCTATAAGATGATCGTTGTCGGGCCGAATGGTCGTTGTTCGGAGCTGCCGGCCTTAATCAAACCGGGATATCATTATTGCCATAACTGTCAACTCAATGAACCGCCACGATCACATCATTGTCCAAGTATTACCATTTAGCATGTCTTTGTCTCAAGCTGAAGCTGCACTTTTTAGACAATAAGCGATCTTATAATTTCATTAAAATTTGGTTTCAAATTTGTAGCATTTTGTGTAGAAGGAAAATTTTATGTGTATTTATTTAATGGTTTCCTGACTTTTTGATTTCGTTTTATGGAAAAAATGGTGAAATGCTTTGGATGTTTTCCAGCTTGTGACAAATGTGCATTGCGTCGTGATCACCATTGTTCATTTGCGGCCGTCTGCGTTGGACACTTCAATCAGAGGTATTACATTGCAGCAGTGTGCAACCTCTGGATCATAGCGGTCACCGTCACAATGTAAATTCATTTACCTGTCAATTTCTGATCTTTTAGATAAAAATTACCCATGAATATCCAATGATAATAAAGTGTAAGATAATAAAGTCTCGAGCGGACTCAGTTATTGATTCTTTAATGTCTTGTCATATTTTTGAATTTCACATGTTCTAATAAACTGGCTATTCCATTCAGATGGGTTTTTTTGATTATTAATGATCTAGTATATCTGGATTATTGATATTATCGGGGTATTTCAGTCGAGCATTCTCATTTCATGCTTTTCTGCTTTATCTCAGTAGCTTTTGTTATTGATTAGAAGAAAGAATTCGTGAAAATACTTAACAGTGAACCGCAAAATTGCCTAAAAGGTATGCATGTAGCCCAGTGAGATAATTCGGTATCGTTGTAAGTCCTAATTTTACCGTTAATACAATTTTGAATTATGTGAAGGTAAGTGATAATCCATTCGATCGTGAAATGTTCCTAATCATTGGTTCAGTATACAAATGATCTTCAGATGGAATTGGTCATTTATGTGGTCAGCATTGGGCGGTTTTACGGTGATGCAGCTTTGGCAGTTGGTAGTGCCGCATATTGCTCTACTGGCTCGTGTAATCACATTCTCGCAGTTCCTTTGCGTTATGGTATTCGTATTCGCATTGACTGTGTCTCTGTTCCTGACCTACCTCATTGGAGCGCAATTGTTTTGTTTGTATCGAGGACAGACACGAGTCGAATATCTTATGGTAATTTGTAATTTAGTTTCGTTTATTTTGTTGGTTGCGAATTAATATTGTCTGAAAATGATTGAGAGCATAAGCATCTTTGCAAACATGTCACTCAACTTGTCTGGATGTATCATTTCAAACATGACGTTTGGCATAATCAGCTGTTCGCTTAATAAAAAGCTCCATTGTGATGTATTTTCGTTTCGACGGAAACTGTGTTTGAGAAAAAGAATGGAAAAAAAACTGTCATGAAAATTCTTCATTTGAGATTGATATGAGGTTTTGATGAACATTTTAACAACCGAAAACATTTGGTTGGTATTCATCTAGCAGTCGTGTTTGCATTATTCTCTTGCATTATTCATTATTTTGAGCGAAAAGCGAGTGAAGACAACTCATAAAATAAATACTTCTGCATCTCATAAAATTTTAATATATTTGTGCTTTAAAGATTGAACACTTGCTGTATGAGTGCATAAAGTATTAGATCTTAGAATGAACCTATTTTTTGCAAATGACGGTAGTCGGTTTGAAATTGAGTGCCCTTTGAATTATTAACATAAAATAATTTGAGATTGAAATCGCTTAAGGCATTTAAGTCGTAAAGAGCATGAGTATCATAAACAGATGTTTTCGTCGAGTGTATTTATGCTGCTGATTTCAGGATGTGCACGCATATCAGCTCGGATTCATGGAGAACGTAAGACAAGCACTTGGCCGTCATTGGCCATTGATATTCCTAACAGCATTCATCAGTTCACCACTCCCATCTGATGGCCTCTCGTTCATGACGAGGGAGACGAAACCGATCGCTGAAAATACGAAAACTTTGTAAACGTTATGCGAGACAGTCAAAGCATCATCTTAATAATATTGGTTGTTGGAGTCCGGAGAAAGATTAATCAATTGTGGCAATGTTTGCGGATTTAGATTTAATATTTCTTAACTTTATGGCATCAGATGAACGCAGTAACATTTTCTTTTAAAAGCTTTGTATCCAAAAAATGTCCTTAGCAGGAGATTTTGATGCAGTTGTCTTAGGAGATGGTGTTCTCAGCCATGAAATTAAATCACAGCACGTATAAATAATCTTCAGCTATAGATTAGGAGTGTTTTGTTTCCGGATATTCGAGAATTAATAATGATAGGACCGTTTTTTTTTNTTTTTTTTTGATTTTACATCTTATTGAATTGTTCTCAACAGCGGATGTTTTGAAGTATTCTGTTTGTTTTTTAAATTTGTTGTGTCGAATAGTCATAACTCTTTTGGAACTGTTCATCAGAGTGTTATGTGTATAAGCTTTACAAGAAGTGCCGATCTCCATACTTCGCAAGAGGTGATTAAATTTTGATATGCGAATACCTTCTTTTATGAATTCTGACCTATCCTTGTAAGCATTTTCTCGTAAATCATTGTAAAAAAATAATGGTGCACTTGTGTATATATCGATAACGTTCGTGGAAATTTTGACGTTGAATTCTCCAGAATTTACCTTAGTCCACTTACATATTGAAATAACTCAGTTGAACTTGACAAGCATTTTCGTGATCAAATTGGATCTGTCATTGATCACTTTATTGCTTAATCTCGTTACGTGCGAGGTTGTTTTGGAATCCATACGTGAGCATGAGAGTCAACAGTCCATTCTATCCAGTTGTCCATTCAATTGCCTTGATAATCTGGATTGAACTTTTTAGAAGAAGTTTACATTGGCAATTGGGCAGGTGCATTTTTCACAATCAAACGTATCGATTTGTCATTATCCGATTGTTATGCCATACAGTATTTGTTACCCTGTATATCTCATTATTACATTTTCTTCGCATTTATTGCGATGCATTCAACTTTTGTCCATTTTACACATCAGTACATGTGCTCTGTGGGTCTTCTTCTGCGATTCGTGATGTCCATTCACTGGCAGAAGGCTTCATCCAAGAGTTGAAATAGCTGTTGTTTAGAATATGATATGGCATGTGAATCGCTTCGCACTCCACTGATCAATGACCGAAGTGAAGCTCTGTACTTCATTGCAGGTGTTATTGATCAGATGAGGGAATGGGAAACTCTTATCAGTTGAAATTACCTGTATCAATGTCAAAACTGTATTGTTATCCGCTAGGTTTGATTGTTCTTGTGAATCTGAATTATCGTTCACAGTTTTTGTTTTCGTGTCATGTAACGGTTCGACGATATTGTTGCCAAAGTATACATTTGACGTGCTATTTGTTAAGATGTGGCCAACAACAAGTCTAATATTACCATGTACAGTGATTTTGTGTAATAAATTGTTTTTTGAATATTTCTGTAAATTTCGCACAATATTCTTTCCACACCACAGTAACAGAAAATGGGCCGGGCACATAGCGAGAATGAATGATAACCGTTGGACTAGTCGAATAACGCAGTGGATTCCAAGAGGATTGAAGAGGCTCGTAGGCAGACCACGAATGAAATGAGACGAAGCATTCGTCAGAATGTTCGCTCAGAAATGGAAAAGGTCTGTGCAACATAGAGTAGCATGTGGATCGGTTAACCTGCGCCCACATCGAGAGCGAAAACTGGTCGCGAGGTAATTCTTTCCACACCACAGTATCCTCGTGAGTTGCCTTTCGTAGATTCAAAGTATTCAAAGAATATGCAAAATGAAGGAACATCATATTTGATTATAGGTTTTACGGTATTCAAATTAGTGCAAACAGTCGGAAATCGCAAGGAAATCATGCTCTAAAATTTCCATAAAATCTGCAAATTATGATTTTGCATAGTTATATGATTAAGTGACAGGGTGTTCCATTTCTTTGCAATCCATGGTCATTTTATCAGTGAATGAACTAGGCGAATGGCTAGTTCAAAACATGAGAGGCGTCACGAGCGCAAAAAGGTATTTCAGCACTTTCTTCAGCATTTAATTGCTTCTGCAGTGATCGAAGATGATAGAAATTACGAATGATCTTGATTGACGAGTTGATCTTAACAATCAAACTGTCAATTAACAATTTGATTATTAACTAAGATCAAATTGATCTTAAAATTGACATATAAATGATCTTAATAATCATTTGTATATTTTTCTAGCATCGTCATGGCTTGAGAGAGCGGAGAGCGAATTCAAGAAGATATTCTGAAAATTTAAATAAGTCAACATCAAACAAATTTGATTCATTGAGCGCAAGGGATAACGCCGATAGTGGAGTTGATCGCCTTAAGGTACGATATGACTGGCGAATACTTCCAGTTTCGTTCGAAATCTAGCTGAAATTTCGTCGCTTCTCATTTCAAATTCAAGATTATTGTTTGCAAATCATTGACGTATCGTTTGATGCAAATATGGAATTCGTCAAGTTTGAATGGATTCAGTCGAGCGAAGGAACTGCGAATGAACAACAGATTGATGAAAGAAAGAGTGCAAAAAGTAAATCAAAAACGAGTCACAACACGGAACGCAGCACAGATATCCATTATGAAAGCGATGATTTACGGAAACGTTTCGACGAGAGTCTCAAGAAGGCGTTGAATCGTTCGAAAGTCAATCTCATTAAAGGTGAAAACAGCGAACAGGAAGAAATTGGTCAGTCATAGTCACTTATTCATAGCCTAAAATAGCGACATCCATCATTGTATACTGCATAGCAAGGGTGTCGGAAATTCTTCCGTTAGATCAGTCGATCTGTGCTGATGCCGTATTTGTGGTGCGATCAAATGAATGAACGCTGACCAAATTTATCGTCAGCTTCCAGTTTAGATTAGAAACAATGTCGTATCTCAGTCCTTCCGATGAATATTTTCTTGAAGCGCAGGAAAGCAAGCGTGATGTTCATTCCAAATTTTTTCGTTGTCTTGTCAGGTTTTTCTGGTGTGATTTAGACATTTATCTAGGATTTTGACATAGGTGTGATTTAGACATTCATCTAGGACTATATGACTGTATGTGATTTAGACATTTATCTAGGACTATATGACAAGAGTAAGCATCATTTTTGCTCAGATGATGACTTGGCCGAAGCGATGCAAACAAAAACCGTACAAGAAGTGATCACATCAACAAGTCGAGTGTTACTCAACGATGAACGAATCGAGCCAGCCACTGTACAACTACAAATGCGTGTCAATAACATCAAAGGTCACACACAATGCAGGCCAACAAACGTCTATTTCAACGCATATGTAAGGGAACTTGTCTTATATCATCTCATCAAGAAACCGAAACCAGTGCATGATAGAATCCATGGATTTCAGTCATTAAAAAAGCAAACATGTTGTTATCTGAAGCGATCAAAAATTGTTTTGAAAGCGACACATCATGCTGAACGTACCACTTGAATCCATTGAACTCAATTAATCGCGAGATTTTTACCATTAATACTTGGAAATTTGTTTGTTTTCAACGAATGTTAATATGCTCCAAGTTGAGAATTGTCATGTGCATTCAAAGAGAACATTATCCCACTATTCAAGAGACTTTCTGCTGAACTGTAATCTTTTTGAGGAATTGTGATATTGAAGTTCTTCAAAAAAGGCATTAGTGGCAACAAATCCAATGAATTCATACACATTGCATCGTTCTGTAGTTGATTTTTTAGAAGGCAAAAGGCGTGGATGAACGAGGTGGACGAATCATTGGCAACAACCGAATAAATACATGATTATATGTCAGACGTTCTTTTAATGGAATAAATCTTTTGCGAGTTCTACGATTTTTTCATCGTTAGACCTGGATTCGCAGTGCTGTACATTGATTGCGCCCGAGAAGGCTTTAACATATCATACCGCCATTCAGAAGGAAATTTTCATAGTTAGGTACCGTATGAAAAAGCTGAATTTATGGGTGGGCAAAAGGTTGGGGTAAAAGAAGCCGAAGTGCACTTTCGTACACGCGCGGGCCCGAATGTTCAAAGGTGAGGGAAGGAGAGGAAAACGCTTCGTAAGATTAGAAACAATCGTAAGATCGTAAGATTAGAAACTATATCTCTGGACGAGATATAGCTATTTTTCTAAAGCCATCTCAATTAGCGC